CCGCCAAAAAAAAAAAAAACGGAGGTGAAAAAAAAAAACCGGTAACCTGGTTGCCGAGTTCACGAAGTGAATTGGCTTGTTTTACAACGTCGTTGCCAAGCGACGAAACCCAATCCCGATGGCAAACACCGGGGGGGGCGGCTTGTTTTACAACGTCGTTGCCAAGCGACGAAAACCCAACCCCGATGGTAAACACCGGGGGGGAGGAAGGCGGGGGCCCCGCAAAACACCCACACAATTAATTTCTCAATTAAATAATTAATTATTGTATTTTCACACCATTTTTCTTTCCTTTCCTCTTTCCTCGTCTTTATTTTGCAATTATCTTGTTTCAGAGATTCTTTGGATGCAAGTTGCGACAGCACACACACATGAAACACATGTGAGCACTTATCGCAGCATCAGCACACACACCAATAAACGTTGGTGGTGGCAGATGACATTGCATATTTTGGAACAAGGACATCAGCATCCGTTCTCTAGACAACAAAGTCTACGCCTTCCAGACAAGGGGCATCGGAATGAACTTTCGCTCTACGCATGTATGCTCTCTCCGCATCCTGGAGTGCCCTGTCTCCGACGGACACACGCAGGGAGGGGCTGTATGCACGCATGTAGGTAAACTGATCGTTCTACCAGACGGAGGGACGAACAGGTGCAGCACCGAACCAGCTCTCATTTGATGGATAGTCACGAAGAGGCGTCAAACGAAGCTTCGAAAGTAGACAGTAGAAAAACGTATACTCCGGAGTATATAAAATAAGTGGCACTTATACCAACAACGTTCGCAGTTTGAAGCTACGCCCGCCATGCGGCAGCGTGTTCCATTAAATGTCCACACACAACCACTCCTTCCTCCCGTCGCCTCACACCATTGAACATTCATAGGTGGAAAGACCCGTAACGCCATTGAACCATCTTTGCACAAGGCGGCGATGCTTTCCACAAGCATGCGCAGCTTTCCCTTCGACGGCGCGGCAGCCCAGAATAGCTCATACATATGTGGATGCCAGTTACAGCGCCGTGTTCTTCTCGCTCCATACCGTTCCGAATAAAGTATGATATACTATCGGTCGGAAATCATGTTGTCCTGCCTCCTGAGACAGTCTTTCAGGTCGCGCGACCGATGGTCGACATTCAGGTACGAGGTGAGTGACTCTTCAAGGCGAAGGAGAGTCTCGTTGGTGCCCGCCGTATCCGTTGCCCGGTAGTCAGAGTTCAGGAGCTCGCTGAAAATTTTATCCCAGAGATCCACCTCCCAATATCTGCATCATTCAGAACGGGACGTGCGTAGCTTACGGCAGTATTTTCAGTTTCACGGACCCAAGGAAATTGGCGTGCCTCCTACTTCGCTTACATTGATTGAGCTGCGAAGAAATTTGTTGAACCAGATGATGAACCACAAAATCGGTGGCTTTACATGGATTGATCTGTACGCCTGTGGATACTTTTGTTGGTGCCTTTCTGGATTGGGCCGCCAGCAAATCTCGTACGACGTTCATCACACATCACGAAGGCCGCCTAGAAACTGCCGGCGGTTTCTCGCGATACCCGGTAAGCTGTGTTCACACACATCCAAAAAGACCAAACACGCGGACCAACGAAAACAAGTTGGTGCCCTACAGGTGGTTTACTGTGCTCGCACCCTCGCTTTACGCAACGTGATGTGCTTTTAGCTTCCCCGTTGTGTTTCCCTCCCCTTCTAGCGAAGTTTTAGATGCTAGGGTAAACGAGAGACATGAGCCTCGAGAAAAAAAGAACAGATTGTATACCGTAGCGTATTTTTGTCCTACCCCCGCAGGGAGCACGAAATACTGCATGTAATATTTTTCCACGGAGCAAGGCCCTTACAGGCAACGTTCAGTTTGAGAAAATATACGCAATATAGATTCATGCCCGGGACTGAGACAAACGGTATCACCGTAGCATACCGCACATACTAGATATCGAGTTTACAACGAAGACCTGGTTGGAGCAGTTGGGTGAACAATCCGACACACAACACACAAGTGTTTTTGTAGCAACTAGCCTGGTTAATCGTAAGTGGTCTGGTCCAGTCTAACGGCTCGTGCAGACAACAACTCACCGTTTGCAGTTTTGGACTGGTCGCCACCGCCCCGATCTGTTTAGGGTGGAGTCGTCTTCTCGCTCGCGAGACACTTCGAGATACACACCGTGCAGCATGAAGTACATGCAGCTGCCTAGAGCGTAGAGATCGGCATCATGCTTCCAAGCCAGGCCCTACGTTCGTCAAGAACAATTTTGCCGTGCGTTAGCGTACACCACTCCAGAGATGGAGCGATGGATGGAAAAGGGCCGACGACTAAGGTGAAAGGGTTTTGAAGAGCGCGACGCGACGGAGAACACGTACCTCCCTCATCGCCGGGCATGAAAAACTCCGAGCGCAGCACTGCCCCATGAATGCCACATCCGATCCATTCTGGGGAAAAACCGAGAGATCGATCGCTCTTCCAAAATCGATCAAAGACATGGAATGGTCTATGCCCCCAGCATGCCCCATCTCCTCCGTGCGGTCCACTTCACTGCGGGGGCGACGTACCAGCAGCCAGTTGTCCGGTTTGATGTCCATGTGCAGGATTGATGCCGAGTGCATTGCTCGACAAAAGCGCAGCATCTGCGCCACCACACCACAAAAAAAAGGTTGACCATAAAGGTTGACCATTCATGTACACAAGGTACCAGTGGTATTGGGTCATTCGTTGCAAACCCAAGACAATGGACTCCGTTCGCAAGTACAGGCGTGGGCGACCGAGGACAGTGGCAATTCACAACTTGATCCGAAATTGGCCCATCCAACAGCACGGGTCATCAATTGAGAATGGTGCGCGTGCTGCTGTCACCAAGGTCGACCGACCAAGTCGAGGTTCTTACCTCTACTGCATAGTGCATTGCAACGAGCTGCGGCACGGCCTGCGCTCTTTTCGAGTATAGTACGACAAGATCGTGTAGCGTGCCGGCCAGACCCACAGGCATGGCCATCGCGCATCCATCGCGGTACAAGAAAAGAGCTTCGGGTTTAACCACCTGGAATGTAAAGTCAAAAGCAAGTGAATAAGAATGATCAGCTCGAGTTCACAAGCACCTAGGAATGTCAAATGTTGATAGACCTGCGCCCGTTTTCATAGAGCCTCACCGTAATTGGCGCCTCGTTTACGCTGCAGATCTTCCCCTGGCGACGATGCAACAGTCGCTCGCTCAGTTGGAGTGTGATGAAGCACTCCCACGGAAGTGATGGTGCATATTCCTTGGGGATTCAGACAGAACCAAAAGCAGTAGTATATTGTCAGGAAAGGGCGGGCACGCCATATATTCTGCTTCGTGTGGGACCTCCTGAAGCCAACGAACGCGAATAGGAGGACACATGAGGGCTCGTGCTCACCTTATACTCCACTTTTACTGCCACGTCGCGTTGGTTCTTGCTGAACTTGCAGGAAAATACCACGGCGAAAGCCCCCTCTCCAAGTACTCGCAGCACATTGATCCTTTGGTTACCGAGCGACCTTGCCAACTCGACCGGTCGACGTGAGCCAACCTTCACCTTGGCCATCCGGCGAGGACATACTTTTGCCAAGCTGTCGAGCCTGTCGCGGCCCATTCAGCAGCATCGATATGACTTCGATTAAATCGTAAATTCGGCTACCATGCACTTTATACGCTGACATGTACACTGAAATGTTCAACAGCCACCAGTCAGTTGGCTCACTGCTGGCGCTGTCGTCGCTGCTGCTGCACAAAAGGAGTCTCTGGCAGCAGCCGGACAACGCGTACTTAGCCTTCTCCTGGGGTTCTACACGGAACACTACTGGCCAAGGTATATATGCGCTTTCAGAGAAACCTCAAGCTTAAGAGTCTTGCCTAGTATCATACACTATGCTGGAAGAGCTGGCCCAGCAAAGGTACTGCGCGGTGTTGGTTGTGAGGCGTCTTCGCATGTCCGGAGAGAACGGATTACGAACTAGTGTGGGGGTTGCAGTTGCGATGGTGGCCGTCTTGTCGGTTTCCACGCGAGGTCGTGGCAGTCTGTCTGGCCTGTTTCTCGCAGAGCACTCCTTACGTCTCAGCGCGGCTCCATCGCGGGAATTGGCATCTCTAGCTCCGAGGGGGGCATCTACAGGCCTGCATTTTGAGCCATAAGCACCTCCACCACCAGTGCACAATTCATCGATCCCTTCGATTGGCTCGCGCTGGCTGATGTTGGGCTGGTCTGGTGCGTGCTCGCGTTGCGCGTGAGCCGCGGTTTGGGACTGCTTCGCGCGCAGCATGGCTTGTTCACTGCTGCGAGTAGAGGCGAAGTCGATCTCCTCCTTGACTTCACCTATCCGCGAATCTAGACCCACCATTCGCATCCTCTCCAGCATCCTTTCGTGAAAGGAGCTTAGAAATTCTTCAAGAAGAGACACAGGTTGGGCACCCCTGCACAATTCACGAAAGGTTCGAGGACAGCAGTTGGTCAGTGGTGTTGGTGTTGCGCAATATGTCTCCATCACGTGGGTAAACCTGGAACAGGTGTACGCTGGACATGGATGTGCACATGCACTCTTGGCCCCACTTGGTGAAGGTTTCGGAAAGGATAAGCGTGTTATTTAATTCAGAGTACGACTCACCGAGCACGTCCCTCTGCTATTATCAGGGCCACCCTCTCGTATGCTTCGGCCATCTCGAGAACGTACGCCCAAGCTGCCCAAAACAAGGATAATTGCGTGCCGATACCCGCCGACTTAAGCAGCAGGAACACTTTATCGGCATCGTCGGAAAGGTCGGCCTGCGTATCGCAATGTGTGGTATGGCACATGTCGAGTTAAGCGCACCCGGCAGGTGTCAAAGGGCGGAGAAGAAGGAAATCTATCAAACGAATATGCATATCATGTCTACTTAGTCGTGGCATACACGTTCTGCCCATAACGGTCCACGCAGCAATTGATCGGCCACACGTCCACACACATGAACCAAACACGAATACGAACGCATACCGTAGGTTGCAAAATATATCACAACCCCTGGCCCGATTATCAAAGCTCGATTACTCGGCAGGAAAAACAGTGACGGCGCCGAAAATGGCGGCGTTGGAACCGCCTCGTCGAGAGCTTTCTGACAACGTCTCCTTTGATATCAGCATCCTCTTCGTCGTAAAGTAATGAAGGTTTGAAAATCGCATCAACATGCTTCACAGAGCCGCGCATCAAAACTTACGTAGCGCATCCAGAGCTTAAGGTATCGCTCGTCGTTGCGGTAGCGCTGATCGATCTGGAAGCGTTCCAGGATCTCCGACAACGCCTCCTTTAGGTCGCTGCTTGTGGTGCTTGTGGAATCTAAATGCAGGAAAGTGCTGAAGGGGGCGCAAGCAGCGTGGATCGCGAGATTTTGATTTATGGACTACTGCTGTAGTTACAAAGCTTGCATGGAGCTGCTTGGCTATCATGTTGCACATATGGCAATAAAGAGCGTTGTACATACCTACAGACCAAGAGCTTGAGAAAAGAAGCAATTAAGCTGCGGGTCATCAGCAAGATACGGTTGGTTTTGCCTAAACAGTACTACTGTAGTTTGATGGGACTCCTGCTGTGTACAGAGTAGGCAAATATTGAGATGAACCAAAAGGCCCAACGTGCACATACCTTATCGATTTCGCCAGGGGGTCGTGGCCTCCGTGGTTGACATCACAATCATGCGTGGTCATCGGTTGAATCGCTATCCTTCTTCTGTTAGTCTCGCCGTCCCCGTATCGTCATTGCACTCACGAGGTGTGGTAAAAAGCGTGTGCGACAACTACTGCTACCTGCTATGTAATAGTCGATTGTACTCGACAAGCTTGAGGTGGGGGGGATGCGCAGACAGCGGATTTTACGGTTTGGGACGCGTACACAGCATCCAGCATCGTGGCAGCTAGGGCACCACAGGCAACTAACTACATACGCTGCCGTTGCGTAGTTGCCTGCTGAGCACATTGTGTTCAGGGGATGGTCGCGGAATCAGACCAATGGGAAGAGCTGCTTGGATCAGCTGTGCGGAAGAAGGTTGTCGTTGATGGAGACGGCGAGTCGCCTGATCTCGGGAGTCTTGTGCTGTTCACATGGACAGGGTCCCCCTTGCTCGACAACGGGACGACGACGGGAGTACCCTTTGCTCACAGAGAGAGAGCAAGGGCTAGGATAGGAGATGGAGACGAAATTCCAGGTGACGGTTATATTTTGAGAGGATCTAAAAATTCAATCACAATTGTACCGTAGGGACCGCCCTTGTCAGTGCTTGTGATAAAATCGGCGATGTACACTACTGGTCGCCCCGGTGGTCTAGTGGGTAGCCTCGCAGCCTGCTAAGGGCCAGGTCATGGGTTCGAGTCCCGGCAGAGAGAGTTTTTTTCTCACTAAATAAATCCTGGTCTAGGATGAAAGCGACGCGCTGCAAAGCTCGTTTGTTAGTAAACCATAATCGACTTCGTAAGTCGCGAGGGAAGGGATTGCTGTACCCTTCTCGCGATAAAAATACCTCAGGCATGAACCGCAGGAGGGGGTCCAACCCCCCCCTCCTATGGGACCCCGGTTGGGTCGTCTAGCTAGTAGAAGTGGAGGATAGGGGCCAGAGGGGCAGACGACAGAGTCCAATGATGGGAGAAAAACAAACAAAACAAAACAAAAAAAACTACTGCACACAGTAAACCATAATCGACTTCGTAAGTCGCGAGGGAAGGGATTGCTGTACCCTTCTCGCGATAAAAATACCTCAGGCATGAACCGCAGGAGGGGGTCCACCCCCCCCCTCCCATGTGACCCCGGTTGGGTCGTCTAGCTAGTAGAAGTGGAGGATAGGGGCCAGAGGGGCAGACGACAGAGTCCAATGATGGGAGAAAAACAAAAACAAACAACTACACACTGCTGTACACTGCTGTCGTTGGCGTAGCCCTCATGTTTGTAAAGGTTGCGTCGAACCGCGAAAGCTTCTTCAAGCTCGTGTTCAATTACACCAACACGTGGCATCTGGAGGTAGCGTCAATGTCAGCACGTGGAATCTCTGTATTGAAGTACAACTTCTCGTCGGGGAAATCTCGCCGCGATGTCATCGCAATGTGGACATACCGTACATGACACAAGATAACACGCCCCCTGGACCAATTTTCAAAGCTCGAATACGCCACGACGAAGAGGATGTATAAATGAAACAAAACATTTTCGGAAAGCTCCCGACGAGACAGCTTCACCGCCACCGTTTTCGGCGTTGTGACTCTTTCCGTTGTTGAGAAATCGAGATTAGAAAAGCGATCCAGGGTGTGTGTTATCGATCCCGTGCCATGTACGGTACATGTAAATCCCCGTAAACATCAAGTGTAAACCGTGGAACACCCCCCCCCCGGGCCAAGATTGACATACAGGATAGCCACTTAAGGCGGTTCACTTGCAGCAGTCTATTGTAAATGATTTAGTGTGTCTATCGTAAAACCAATATACTCTTCATTGCAATGGACTTTCGTGCCGCATTCTAAAACCCATGAAATCCTCTTAAGTTTTTAGGCTTTCGTACCCCTCTCCTCCTCGCGACCAAGGTTGACGCGTATTCTTGGGGTGTTTCCGTGATTTCCACTAGCTCTGTGTGGGATCCCGCGCGCGCTGAAAAAAGTGCCCGAAAGATGTCGAAACCCCGGGGATTATATTAACATGTCTCCCCCCGGGGACATTCAACGCCTCG